ATGCGGGGCAAACGGGGCAGCTTCCCCGGGCCCAGTTGCTCCTGAGGGGCCCCAGAGCAGCTGCCTCGTGGGCCCCGCGATTTGAGCAGCTCCCATGGACCTGGCGGGGCGGCTGCACCAGCCGCAAACTAAGTAGGCCCCTGGGTGACCCATGCACTTAGGGCCACCTGGTGGGCATGTGTCAGCAGGGGCCCAGTCGGGCGCTGTGACACTTAAACAGCGTGACCGGGCCCCTTCCTGTTCGGCGTCACTTCCTCCCACCCGCGCGGGAGGAGAAAGGCAGGGAGGAGCCTCAGCCTGCCACTGGACCAGGGAAACCACCCTCCAGAAAAAGGTAAGAAACTGGAGGGTGGCTAAATGTATGTCTGTGTGTGTGTGTGTGTGTGTGTGTGTGTGTGTGTGTGTCTATGTCTGTCTGTGTGCATGTCTGTGTGTGTGTGTCAGTATGTGTGTATGTATGTCTGTGAGTGTCAGTATGTCTCTGTGTGTCTATGTCTGTCTGTATGTGTGTGTCAGTATGTCTGTGTGTCACTAAGTCTGTGTGTGTGTCTATATCTGTGTGTGTGTGTGTGTGTATGTCAGTATGTCTGTGTGTGTGTGTCAGTATGTCTGTGTGTGTGTGTGTGTCTGTGTGTGTCTGTATATGTCAGTATGCCTGTGTGTGTGTTTGTCAGTATGTCTGTGTGTGTGTCAGTATGTCTGTGTGTGTGTCAGTATGTCTGTGTGTGTGTGTGTCTGTGTGTGTGTCAGTATGTCTGTGTGTGTCAGTATGTCTGCCTGTGTGTGTCTGTCAATAGGTCTGTCAGTGTATGCGTCTGTGTGTGTCAGTATATTTGTCAGTTTATGTGTCTGTGTATTCATGAATGTGTGTCTGAGTGTGTGTCAGTATGTCTGAATGTATGTCAATATGTCTGCCAGTATATATTTGTGTGTCAGTGTATGTGTATGTCAGTATGTATCTGAGAATGTTTTAATATGTCTGTCTGTGTGCGTATGTGTCAGTATGTCTGTCAGTGTGATTGCGGGTTGGGTGTAATTAGGGGGTTGGGGGGGAAGGAGCAGGGCCCAGGGTCTATTATAGACGGCCCTGCAAACTCCTGTAGATACCATAGTAAGGAGTACAAAATGAAAGCAACACTCCAAGCACCATAACACTACAGTACAAACAGCCAGTCAGCCTCAGGCTGTGCAAGGCCCTGAACTGCAAGGAAGGAGTCAAAGTCCTTTGGCAATGCAAGCCGGTATGTGGCACCTTTTTTGGTGGCTATCAGGGTCCAAGATGTGCCCGTCTGTATTTGATCCCATGATCTATTCACCAAAACTGTGTCTTTAAGATGAAGGTGTTTTGATGACTATAGTGTCCCTTAGATGAAGTGATTGTGGGGTACAGATCATATTCCTGCAGTCTTCCTGCTCAATTCTTTGCCATTTAGGAGATAAATAATTTAGTTTATGCAGCCCTAGCCACACCCCCATGTTTGTGACTTACGCAGCCTCCCTATGTACTTTTTGTTTTTTTAATAGAGATTTATTTTTTCTAAACTTCCTTTTTTGCACAGAGTGTTTTATTTAAAGGATCCCTATAGTTTCAAGAAAACAAACTAATTTTCCTGGCACTATGTAACCCTTAGGTCCCCCCCACCCTCGGGGTGCCCCTCCCGCTGGGCTGAAGGGGTTAAAACCCCTTCAGCCACTTACTTTTATCCAGTGCCGGGCTCCATCGGTGCTGGTGACCTGTCCTCCCCCGCCGACGTCAGCTCCCGACGTCAGCACGCGCATTCAAACAGTCCATAGGAAAGCATTTCTCAATGCTTTCCTATGGACGTTCTGCATGCTGAATGCGAATTTCGCATCCAGCGTTGCAGAAGCGCCTCTAGCGGCTGTCAGGAAGACAGCCACTAGAGGCTGGATTAACCCTGCAATGTAAACATAAGCAGAGAAACTGCTATGTTTACATCTGAAGGGTTAAAATCTGGGGCACCTGACACCCAGACCACTTCATTGAGCTGAAATGGTCTGGGTGACTATAGTGTTCCTTTAACATTATCTGCTGCTCAGTTAATAGCCTGCTGGAGCCTACAGCCTGCAGGAGCCTTGAAGTTCAATTGACTGAGAAGGAGATAGGAAATAAGAAACACAATCTGCTCTAAGATTAGATTGAAAATGAAACAATTTTTTTTATGAAGGTGGTATGAGTCACAGATAGGGGAGGTGTTAACAAAGTGTTTTAACTCCTAAATGGTAGAAAATTGAGCAGTGAGACTGCAGGTACATGATCTGTACACCAAACCTGCTGCATTACCTTTGTGACAACTGTTTTTTTTCCTTTTTTTTTCTGTAAAACATATTAACCATGTAATAATTCTAGGAGGTTCTGGTGTTTCACAATGAAGTTCCATACCTCCCAACTGTCCCTATTTAGGATTTTGGGCCCAAATCCCTCTGCCCCTTCTTTTTATACTAATGATCTTTTTAGGAGCTCTATGTTGTTTTTGTGTCCGAGTGTATGACAGAGCTCAACAATAATACTCACAGTAAGGTGTTGTTAAACTACAATCCATGTGTTTAGAAATCAGTCTGTGTAAAAAAGATACATTGCTCTTGTTCTAAAATACATAACAGTCGTATAAATTGTTATTAGTAAGTCACCTAAAATGTCTCAGAACAAGCCATGGCCATATCCCTTTTTGCACCTATAAAATTAAAGGGTACATCTTTGTCTATTTAAAATGAAATGGGAGGTATACATTTCTATTACTATCACTAAAATTTCTGGCATTAAAACAATAATTCAGTAAAGTGTGAATTGTCAGTAATTCAAAGTAAATTTAAAGGAACACTATAGCGTTAGGAGTAGAAACTTTTATTCCTAATGCTATAGTGTCCCTGTCCCTAGTTTTGTAGGTGTCCCTCCCAGTGAATAAATGGTTAAAACACAATTTTTACCCTGGTGATGGATATATCTCCTTGTTCCACAACGTCATGGAGCTGGTCTGACTTAATGCACATATGCGGCACTCGCATTAAAGTTTCCTCATAGGAACTAGGAAGAGTTGAGCGAACCCGAACTGTAAAGTTCGGGTTCGTACCAAACATTAGATGTTTTTGGACCCTGGACCCGAACACGGACATATCACTGTATGTTCGGGTTAGAGTTCGGTGTTCGGCGATTTAATGGCGCATTTTCAAAGGCTGCAGGGCAGCCAATCAACAAGCGTTTGACTCGTGTGCCCTTAGAAGCCATCACAGCCATACATACTAATGGCATGGCTGTGATTGGCCAGTGCAGCATGTGACCCAGCCTCTATATATAAGCTGGATTCGCGTAGCGCCGCACGCACATGCAGTCTTATTAGTGTAGGGAGAGGATGCTGCCTCTGATAGGGACAGCTTAGGAAAGTATTCTGCAAACTAGTACATTAGTGGGGTTGGGTGCACTTCATATCTGAGAGTCAAAAATAAGCTTCAAATACCGCAGTTACATCAGAGTTTTAAAGAGTCCATTTTTTGGGTGCTAAATAGTACATTAGTGGGATGCACTTCATATCTGAGAGTCAAATAGAATCGTCAAATACTGCTGTCACATTGCAGTTTTAAAACTTAAAATTATTTGGGTGCTAAACTGCTAAATAGTATTTTAATGGGGTGCACTTCATATCTGAGAGTCAAGTCGAAGTGTCTAATAGTGTGCTTACAACACAGTTGTAAAAATTAAAATTTTCTGGCTGCTAATCTGATAAATAGTATATTTTGGGGCCTGCTCTTCATATCTGAGAGTCAAATAGAAGTGTCTTATAGTGTGCATACAGTGCATTGTAAAAATTCTAATTTTCTGGGTGCTAATCTGCTAAATAGTAAATTTTGAGGCCTGCGGTGCACTTCATATCTGAGAGTCAAATCGAAACGTCTAATAGTGTGCTTATAGCACAGTGGTAAAAATTCTTATTTTCTGAGTGTTAATCTGCTAAATAGTACATTTTGTGGCCAGCTCTTCATATCTGAGAGTCAAATAGAAGCGTCTCATAGTGTGCTTACTGCGCAGTTGTAAACATTCTAATTGTTTTGCTGCTAATCTGCTAAATAGTACATTTGCGGCCTGCGGTGCACTTCATATCTGAGAGTCAAATAGAAGCGTCAAATAGTGCGCTTACTGCGCAGATGTAAACATTCTAATTGTTTTGCTGCTAATCTGCTGCTTACATTGGAGTTTTAAAAAGTAAGTTTGGAGGAAGAGGCACTGGTCACACAGAGGCACCAGCACAGGGTGCAAAAGCGGAGCGGCCGTCCCCTAGCCCTCGTCGGCATGTATTAGCTCGAGAATTACCAGTTATCCAAGTAATACATGTAGCGATCAAATGATCCATAATAGAGTTGAGCGAACCCGAACTGCAAAGTTTGGGTTCGTACCAGATTTAACGATCCATTCGTAGTTTCACAGTCAGGTGGGCAGTCCAGTGACCAGAACCCAGATACGGTCTGGGCGGCGGTCGGACGACTGGGACCCAGTATGCCTGATGTTGAAGTTAGGAGTCACAGTGTGGAATGGATTAGCAGGGTCTGGTGCAGGGTAACCGCACGCCCCCCGGTGTTGAGCACCAGCGTTTGTGCAGCCACATACCAGGACCCTGATGCAGCTTCAGTAAAAAGAGTACTGGATACCAGAATCCATCACCAAACTGATCCGCAACTTGGAACAGGATGTGACATTCACTGTAGCGGCTGTGCGTGCTTTTGGTGTTGTCACCCTGCTGCTGCTCGCCTGTCTCCGCTTCAGCTTAACTTTGGCCTTCCCGCTCACCGCCTCATGAGACTGTGCGAGCAGCAGCAGACGATAGTGGAGTTTCAGCTGCAGCACGCACGGTTCTTTGGCTCTGCACCAGACTTCCCTCCAATTGATCAGAGTTAAAGAATTTCAAGTGTACTCATTACAATTACAAGGCCTCTAAAGAGTCCTGTATTGTTATTTGTCGTTGACCGGGAGTGGGTCATTTGCGCACCTGCTGCCTTCCTTGCATGTGGTAGCGTTTCTCAGGGTCCCTGTACGGAATGGAACCCTGATTCCCCGTTACCCGTGGTCACCATAGTAGGCGCAGAAACTGGCTTTGAAAGTTGATATGGATGACATCCGCATGCAAAGTCACCGCCACGGAGGTGTGCGATTGGCCCGAGGTTCTCTAGAGTCAACAAAGTGCCTGCGCAACTATAATGTCAACAGTAACTCTGTGGAACAGAGTTGTCTTTTTTATATGTCCCAATATTTTGGGGGCTACCCCAATTAATATATATATATATATCAGTGATGGCTACCTCATCCTCCACCGCCACGGTCACCGCCTCCTCAACCTATGGGTCACTTAGTATAAACTAGGTACACAATAGCAATAGGCTTGTGAAGGCCTTTTCTCCATGCATCAGGAGTTGAGCTCAGTTTGAAGAATGAAAGAGAATACCCTGCACTCCAACCCTCTCTCAAATGGATAATTCTGGTGATCCTCCTGACAGACATGCTTTAGATTTTGATTTATGTTCTTCCAAAGCTAAAATCAAAGATTCCATCTAGAGCTATTTTATGGCTCAGCTGTATTTTTAATTTTTATGTTATTTTAAGTGATTTCCCTATCCACATTTGTTTGCAGGGCACTTGTGCTACTCTTACCCCCATTTTACTTTTGCAGCTCTCTAGCTCTTTCCAGGAGTTTTTTAGAGTCATTTTTGTGGCCAAAATTTCGGGTCCCCATTGACTTCAATGGGGTTCAGGTGTCCGCTCAACTCTAATAGGAACGCATTGAATCAGTAGTTTCCTATGGGGAGTTTGAAGATGTAAGACATCCTCATGCAAAGGCTGTCCAATGTTGGTTGACTGAGTAAAACTCCATTAGGGAGCATGGAGTGCCTTCAGTGGCTGTTTAAAAGACAGCCACTAGATATAGACTTAACCCTGTATTGTAAGCAGTTGCGGAACTACCATGGTCGCAGGGGTCGCAGGTGTGACCGGGCCTGTCACTCCTGTGACCAAGGTGCCTGCCAGTGGCCCATCAGATGGCCCCTGCTGTTAGGGTCACCCAATGCAATGTAGTTCCAGGGGTCTGTTCTGTGCTACGGTACTTTAAAAGCACGACCGGGCCCCTTCTAATGAGGTCAAATCACTGGGAGGAAGTGACAGCCACTTCCTACCAGCAGCCACCAAGAGCCACGTGGGAGGAGGAAGGAGAGGAGGGAGTCAGCGTGGGAACTCTGACTCCCATGAGCCTGAGCCAGCCACTGGACCCCAGGAAAGTCACCCTCCTGCACCTAAAAGGTAAGAAACAGGAGGGTGACTAAAACATTTTGAATGTGTTTGTATATGTATGTGTGTCTGTATGTATGTGTGTGTCTGTATGTGTATGTGTGTGTATGTATGTTTGTATGTATGTATGTATGTTTGTATGTATGTATGTATGTATGTGTGTCTGTATGTGTGTATATATGTATGTGTGTGTGTGTGTGCGTATGTGTGTGTCTCTGTGTGTACGTATGTATGTACGTGTATGCGTGTGTGTGTCTCTGTATCTGTGTGTATGTGTGTGTGTGTGTGCGTGTATATATGTGTGTGCGTGTATATATGTGTGTGACTGTATGTGTGTGTCACTGTATGTATGTGTGTGTGTCTATATGTGTGTGTCTGTATGTGTATCTGTTTGTGTGTATTTGTACTATTATTTGTCTGCACTATTATTTATAATTTTGTGTCTCCCTACATATATTTCCAAGCACCTTAACCAAGAACCAACATTCCATAAGAATCCAGAAACAGCTTGGATTGTGATATTTGGACTCTGCATATTTGGACTTTTTTATATTATTATTATCATATTATTCTATCGTTTTACAACTTTTGGCGCATCCTGTTTTTTTATTTTATTTTATGGTGTGTATATATGTGTTTGTATTTGTGTTAGTTTGTGTGCCTGCGTATTTGCATGTATGTGTATCTGTATCTGTATGTGTGTCTGGGTATCATCATGTGTGTCCATGTGCTTATCTGTATGTGTTATACAGTGTTATATGGTGTGTCAGTGTGTTTTGGTCTGTTTATCTGCATGTGTGTCTGTGTAACAGTCACCCTCACCACACACACTGTCACCCCCTTCACCCAGCCACACTCACAATAACTCCCTCAATCCTGTCACTAACCTATGCCATACTCACCTCCCATCACTCTGCCCTATTCACCCTATCACACTCACATTATCTAGCACTGTCACACTCACCCCTTACCCCAATCCTGTCGCACTCATTCCCCATCACTCTGTCACACTTGCCCCCTTTCACACTGCCACACTCACAATATCAATGAATCCCTCCAATTCTGTCATAATCATCCTGCCCAACCATGCCACACTTACCCTGTGGGGCGTGAATGAAACAAATAGAGGGGTTGGGGGGCATGAATGTGTTAATAGGTGGGGCAGGGGGTGAGACATATGCTGGGGGGCCCAGGGCAATTTTCACACCAAGGCCCAATGGTTTCTCGTTACGCCTCTTATGGAAAGCATTTCAGATTTCTGAAACTGCAATGCTTACATTGCAGGGTTAAACAGACAGGGACACTGTACCATGATCACTTTAATAAGATGAAGTAATTTGGGTGCCTATAGTGTCCCTTTAGTTTTTAAAGTGTTCTTAAAGTGAATATTTCTTTGCATATATTACCACCTCTAATACAACATTTAATAGATTTTGATTCTTTTCAAAGCTTAGTATTGTGATATTTCTCGGATTGTAAACGTTTTAAGGGTCCTTTCTTACAATTTAATTGGCAAGATGAAAAAGGTTATGCATTTTTTTATTACCAAATCAGAGTACCACATGCCGTGAATAGTATGTTAAACTGAAAACAAAAGGCATTCAATGTCACTTTATACATTTATTAGCCTATAAACTGACTTATAAATTAGGGTTTAATAACATTTAAAGAACTCCGAGCAGTTAATAGAGAATAAGGTTACATCACCCGTCACCTATACGATTATTATAGCTTTGAAAGCCTGATTTCTTTTTATAATTGCCCATGTTTTCCCAGCCATTATCTCTCAATACCATCATGAGTGGATGATTAGATGAGTCAAGGAATATATTTTATCATTATATAAGAGACTTAGATAACTCTTCATATAAGGGCTTATATAACCTAAACAGGAATACAAATCAGCCAATAACTTGAAGGTTAACTAGCACAAATATGCAATAATAATACCTGACCATTGCCCATATATTAATCTTATTATATAGCTCAGAGGTTTATGTGTGACTTTGATTTGGCACCATTCTGATGTTTTGCTTATGAAGCTCCCCTCCTTCTCCATTAGCGTTCTCTATTTTTTTTTCCCCATTATTGCATGTATTTTCTAATAATCTTATCTTATCATTTTACTGACTTTGTTGTAGATGAATGTCTATCTATGAGTGTTGTTTCTGTTGTTATTCACATTTGTATTGTCCATGGGTGTAGATGATATACCTCTGTTATTGCTGTAACTTAGATAACCAACCTGCTTTTCTTTTAGAGAGGAGAAAGAGTTACATTCATAGACTTTTATGCCAAATTCCCAAAGCAGTTTAGAACTGGTAGTAATATCTGAGAATGGCTACTTGGCTCCTGGAGTTAAGTGCTCTATCATTTGACAGTATAATGGACATTACAGAATTCTGTTATTTCTTACAGTTACGACAAGTATATCTTTTTTAGCCTTTTCAAGGTTGCTGTCACATTCCCATTCACACAAATACATAATGTTTCAAAATATATGCACAGAAATCAAACTATTATTCTATTTTGTAATTTCAATACAGACATGTTAATCATTTCACAAAATGCATGACATGTTTTCCATCAGCAAACATACCGTCACTACTAAATAGTGATACATTTTCTAAATTAGGATTTACAAATTGCTTGTTAATATTCTTTATTTTCCTGGTGCTTTATATCTATTGTAATCTTAAGAGTAGACCACATTATGTTACACTTATAGTATGTCTAATCACTAGAGCTATGATCTGCATTTGTAGCTAGATAGAGAATGCTCCAGGCAAGTGCTCTGTTGACATAGCCTTTTACATTATGAATATGGATGGATTTAAATCAAAAGAGCTTAGTTTTCTGATATTCTAATGATGCTGAGGCAAGCGGTGAGTCACAAAAAAAACCCTGAATTTTAAATAGTGCATTTGATGAGTTTACTAATGAACCTTTCACTCCTATTGTAGATGAGGAACTTGAAAAGAATTCAAGGTTCTATTTTCATTTTAGTACTGTATTAATTAACTGCAATTGTGCTTCAAACTTTGCCTGTCTGTCTGTCTATCTATCTATCTATCTATCTATCTTACGGTATGTACCTACTCTTTCTGATTACCATACCACCACTGCTCATTAGTTGGTATTAGGACAAACATTAGGAACCAAAAGATAAAAAGGTGTATATTAGCACCAACCCTTAAAAAGTATATACAATGTGAATTTTAATTTAACATTTAAAAGGGTACATCAAGATATACTAGCAAAAGTAAAAAGTATTGTAAAAAGATTAAAGTTAAACAGAAAAATACTATGGGCAAAGGAAAATATATGTGAGAAAATCTAAATAAGATAATAAAGTGAAAAAACAGACAAACAGTAGGACTATATCTTCAACACTAGGAATATTTCTACCTATAACTTTGTAAAATTATTTGTATCTATTGATTTTGACAGCTCTTGAATTCAGCTAGGGTACCTCTACTTTATCTAGTTACTATCTTGAGATGTTTTTTTACGTTTTTCTTTAGACCTTTTTGTTAGTGTTACTTACTCAGTTTGTGATCTACTGTGCATTTAACACTTGTTGTACATTATGCACATCATGTGACTTTTAGCCCTTAAATTATATGATTTACTGTGTAATATATACTTAGTAGATCTTCCCCTTTATTTTATTATTTTTGACTTAATGTATTATAATATTTAATAGATCTGACCATGTAACTAGACTCAGATAGGGCTATGATCCCTTCTCTCTTTTATTTATTTTGGTATAGGTGATTATATGGATTAGGGCATAATTTTGAGACATTTTAGTGTCTTACTTTAACTTTTGTTTTTATTTTTGATGATTTTTGAGTTTCTTATACTACTGAATATGGTGGGAGGCATTTTTCTTTTGGATAATACAGACTATTTGCCTCCTTCCCTTCCCCCCTCCATTGCAATATGCCAGTAGGAGTAATGTAACACTGTATGACAGGGTGGTATCATGGACGCAACCATTGCTACATGCCCATCTTCCACCCATTCCAGGGCTGTGGGCACGGGTTTTCAGATTGATAATACATGCCCATGTAGTG